AATAGACAAATATTTAGATCAGATTCCCCTCACACCTTTGGACTAATTGGGTTTGATGCTAAAAATAAATTACCCAATAGGTTAAAGTGAGGTAATGTTAAAAGAACTGCTTGGGGAAAAACTACCAAAATGCAAGCGCTTTACCATGAGTAGTTAAGAGCAACTTGCAATGGGTGCCAGGGGCTTCAAGGAACATCCCAGGGCAACAATGGAGCATTATCACAGGCAATACTGCATCAGTAAAGCTCTGGATGGCACAGACGACAGCAGTGCATGGAAAAGCAAAGACCCCCAATGTCTGTAAATTGAAAAGTAATTAGAAATAATGAAATTCTGAATAGGAATAAGTTTTATAAATCTCTTACCCAATTTACTTCACTTATATCTTTTATGTGTGCAGAAGACTGATGTCCTAATAGGTCTAAAAGAACTAATTCAAAAAGTTTAAAATAAAAAGTACAAGGACTAAGAAAAGATTGTGTCAGTTTAATTGGAAGCATTTTTATTCTTTTTGCAAAAAACGAAATAACTGTATCTTATACTAATGGCACCTTAAATTGGTGTTTGTGGTATAAATATATGTATATCAATATCTGTACAGGATCACATAACTAAGAAGAAAATTATGGATGAACATAATTTAGGATACTAATATGAGTGCATTGGTCTGGTAGAGTCACCAGAAAGGGACCAGGCCTAAAGCCAGTATGCCTCAGGCCAGCTCTAGTGTGTGTGTTCTTGACTTTTCGTAGGAACAATTTCATAGTCCAGGTGATTTTGAGAGTACATTTGTCAAAGCTGGGGGAGTGAAAAAGGAAGGTGTTAGGATGGAAAAAGCAACAGAAGAAAGCTAGACAGGGCTGCTTTGGCCCTCCAGAAACCTGATGGAAAAGAAGTGAGCCACATAGGGCTGCGTGGTCTCACTGAGAAGTACAAGTCATAATGGCAGAAGCGGGCTGCTTCTATCTCACTGAAAAGTCAGAGGAAAGGGGGCCTTGGAGACAGGTTCAGGTGGTATATAAGCTGTCACTGCATGCTGCTCCCTGATTGCAAGTCTCCTGTTGAGTTTAGAGAGCAAAAGTGCTTGCCTGAGAAAAAAAGGGGCACAGGAATGCTCCAAGAAGAACACTGGATGGCTTCCTTTATCTGGGGGATTTTATCTGTTTTCTGAAGGTAGGAATTTTAGGGGAGGTCTGGGGAGGATCGCAATAGAATATTCATCAACTTTCCAGGTGTGTCCTTCAGTGTGCTGATCCATCAAAATGAGTGTAGGAGGGGTCAGGGTCATTCTCTGATCAGTTTTACCTTCAAAGAATGTCCCCAGTTTCCTCTGTCTCTTGCATTTTTCACCTCACTCTCTCTGCTCCAGAAACCCCACATTTCTTCATTTCCTCAGTTACTCCTGCTTTTTCTCAGAACTCTTCTCCAAACTGCCCCTTTTTGCTTTATCTTTACTCAGTCTTCAAGTCTCAGCTTAGAATTTACTTCCTTAGAGAGGCTTTGCCTCACCCACACCAACTTTCTCATGCTAGTCCAAACTCCAATAGAATCACCCAGAGTTGTGTTTAAAATGTATATACCTGGTTTTCACTCTAGCGCTGAAGAATCAGACTACTGTTGCCGGGTGTGGGTGGGGTGAGAATTCTTCTGCATCCTAGAGAGTGCAAATCTATGCCTGCAGTAGATGCATCCCCTTGCCATACTTTTCCTAACACTTTAAACTTTCTCCTTCACTCACAAGTATTACTGTTATTTCATGGAGGGGTCAGCAAGTGTTTTCTGTATGGAGCCAAGTAAAATATATTTTAGGGTTCTGTGTAGGTTCCTGTATAATAAGACAGAAAACAAATTTTCCCAAACTTAAATAAAATTTTAACGAAATTTAAAATGTAATGGAGTGTATTGTGTTGGGATAACATTTCACTTAATTAGGGTCAAAGATAGTGTTTTTTAATATTATAATGCAAACATGACCTCATTCTTCTACAAAACGTCTCCTTGCTTCTCTACTGCACAGTATTTGAGTGGTTATAAGTCAGTATCATTTAGGAGGAAAAGGCGATCCCGGGAACCTCTATAGATAATACGCATGCACACATACACACACTCCACCAAAGATGAACAAAAACACATTGTCAAGTCAGCCTCTAGCATTTCACTGCCCCTTTAGTGTATGCTTTCTCTGCTCCGGCAATTGATCTACTCCCCTATGTTTTATTAGGGAAAACAAAGGCAACTGCCTGCAGTCAATATACTTGAAAGGCAACTTTCCAGGTAGAAACAGGATATTTTAGAGTCACAACTTGAAGCTAAATACCAAAGATGACTGGCTGCATGCTCAAAGGAAAGTGCACAACGTCATTCTAGGCCCTGACACGTCAGGGTAAGAAATTGTATCTTGGCCATTGCAAATTTTACGTGATTTTTCATTGATTGTCTTCCCTAGTTTCTGGACACAGAGAAGCATGGCAAAGTCAAATGGGCAGTCAAAGGAAAATGCACAACGTCATTCTAGGCCCTGACACGTCAGGGTAAGAAATTGTATCTTGGCCACTGCAAACTTTACGTGAGTTTTCATTGATTGTCTTCCCCAGTTTCTGGACACAAAGAAGCAAGGCAAAGTCAAATGGGCAGTAGACTAGAGAAAATGTTCCTGCTGTGTGGCTCAGCCTCCAAAAAGTTTCACCAAAATAAAAGTACAAGAATGAGCATAACAAGGGGAAATATACCACAATAATATGCTACTAAAAAGACAAATGATAATCTGGAGGCCTATTTGGAAATACATATTGATTGAAAGAATGCAAATGACAAAACAGAAAAAGTATTTTCAACTTATATATAAAGTCTCCAGAAATGTAGATGACCGAAAACCCTATGAAAATTTTACTAGTGATATAAACAAACAGTTCATAGGGAAAAAAAATGCAAATTACTCTTACGTATATGAAAAAATGCTCAACCGCTTTCATAATAAGAGAAATACTAATTAAAACTACAATTAGATACAATTTCTCACCTAGAATATTGGCAAAACCCCAAAACTTTGACATCATACTTTGTTGGCAAGACTTTAAAGAACAGGCACTCTCGTAATTTGGTGATGGAAATGCAAAATAGCATAGCCCCTATGAAGGAGAATTTGGCAGTATCTACAAAATGTCATATACATTTACCCTTTGACCCAGCCATTCCACTTCTAGAAATCTCTCCCACAGAAACACTGGCAAAGATACAAAAACACACATGCTCAAATCTGTGCATCTCAGCACTACTCAAAATAGCTAAAAGCTGGAAACAACCCAAAGTTTCATCACTCGTGGGCTGGTGGGATTAGCTGTAGTATATCCACCCAAAAGGGTACCAGGCAGCTGTAAAAAGAAATGAGGACTCCCTACGTATACTACAGACACTCACACTTTCTTGATTCATAATCCCCTTAATGTCTCAATAATTTTTCATGGTCTCCCTAGGCCAAAAGAAATGCCTAATAGTTTTACTTATTAATGTAATTCAGCAATTCCATTTATTAGTGTATCAATCAGTTTGGTCCTAAGGTAGGGTGAAGGGGACAGGAAAAAAACTTAACTTATTTAAATATTCTTTATTTGTAGTTATGTCTTTTGAACTGCTAACATATTTTATGTAAAATTTTAAAAAAAAATAAGTTTTTTTAAAAGCAATTCTTGAAAATCAAGAGCAAAGGAAACAAGTGAGCCTAACTATATATCTAGTTGCTGGTATGAACCACATAGAGAGAGGTTACTCCAGGCTGCTTTAAATTAGAATAATTTGACTATATATCCCTACTAGGATATGCCCTAAGGGCAAAAGGACTGCAAATAGCAACAACTCAAACTGATTTAGGTAGTCATGTTTATGTTGCTGTTAGTTTTATTCTAATTGTCCATTGACATGAGACAAAGGAATCAAGCAAGCGTGTTGTTTTTCGCTGTGAACCATAATTTTTAGCATGGTAGGAAGCAGATACTGATATAAGACTGATGAGGTTAAGTGAAAACCTCATAGTCCTGAATTTGAGTTAGAAATATCAGCATGAACTTATGTATTTTATCTTCAAAATAAGTCCCTCTCTCAGAGCTTTGTCTGTTGAAAAGGCTTAGAAACTATGACCAAACTCAGCGATAAGTATCTTTGTACCCAGATTGGGTTCTAAATGTTATTTTTCCATGCAAAGGACTCCTTTTCATGAAAAGAAATGGATGACTCTAGATCTGGGGCAGGAATTATGAAAGATGAGCCTGGACTATCTTATCATGTCAGAAAGCAAAAGATGCTATCAAAGGTCATGTCAAAAGGACTTAGAAGACTTATTTTTGTTAAATCTCACCTGAGGATTTTTTTTTCCATTGCTTTTACAGAGAGAGTGGATGGGATGGTGGGAGGTGGGGAGAGAAGGACAAAGAGAGTGAGAGAGACATTGATGTGTGAGAGCCAAGTCAACTGGCTGCCTCACGCATGTGCCCCAACCTGGGGCAGGGAGCAAACCCCCAACCCAGGAATATGTCCTTGACTGGAATTCTGACCCTTTGGTGAGTGGGCCAGTGCTCTACACCAGCCAGGACTAGAACAATTTTACACAATTTTATAAAACATTCAGGGACACGTGCTTCTGGAAATAACAGTCTTCATTTGTCATTTGTCTTTCCCTATGAGAGCTGAGGACAGGTTCACTGCTAAATGTCTGATGTATAAGTGCTGTTGTCATAATTAGCCAGCTGATCGATGCTTCTCTCAAATTGATGTTACTCTATCCCTCTCCCTTCCTCTCTCTCTTGCTAAAATCAATAAAAAACATATTTTAAAAATTAAGATACTGGCTAAACATTGAAGATACAGCCACAGACAGAGGACATCTGTCCCACACCTAATGAAACCTGGTTGGAAGACAGAAATAAAGGAAAGAGTGTAAATAAGTACCTATTTGCCATTCTGAAAATTACTGTGACAGAAAATTACAGGAGCTATGACAGTCTTACCTGGATGATGGGAGAAGGGAACTCTGGAGAAATCTTTCTACGGCAGCCATCTTTAGCCAGAAATCTGAAGGTGTGCAGAGTTAACCTGGATGGGGTTGGAAGGATAAGAGTTGCTCTTCAGACTAAAAAAAACTATTCATAGCAGAATCCTACAATCCTAGCAGGGAAAAAAAGGAGGAGAGAGACTAAAGATCAGGCTAGAAAAGTAGGTGGGGCCAGAGCCTGGGGCACTTTGTAAATTGCATTCAAGGTGTTAATCTTATCCAAAGAATAAGGAGGAAATCAGTTTTAAACCAGGGAGTGGCCTGACAGATTTGCATACTGAGTTACACCCACTGAGCCTCGGGGCAATGGGTATGCTATTATTTCTGGAGTCAGAATTTTCCCTCTTTTAGGAAATTATTAAGGGAGCTCATACAGTTAATACATAATTCTTGGATGTACACTAAACATTTTATTATTTTAAAAAACAAATAATGGAACACATATAGTCAATATAATACCTGGGCAACACACCAAGCACGCTCATATTTCTGCAGACAAATGTATGAATATTAACAGCAAGGAGGACAAATAGTTTCCCATCAGTTCACATCTGTTTTTGTTACCAAATATGATACAAAAAGCTTTTGATTCTCAATGCGTTTCTTTATTGCAGAATCACAAGTAGGGAACTGTGGGCTGGGAGCAGAGAAATGCTAAGAGCAGATCTCCAACAGGTTTCTGCTGAGCAGATGGTGAAAGGGGCCTTCGCTGAGAAGATAAGGCGAGAAGGCCAAGCATCCCAGAGGCCAAAGCAGAGCCTGTGGGGAAGGGGCCAGCCAGCAGGGTGAGGAAGACGAGGGAGGCTGCCCTGGGTAGTCTGAGGAGAAAGGGACTCTAAGCAGAGTCTTAGCTTTGGGGGCCTGGGCCAAGATGCCAAGGATATGGGGCGTGGTAGAATTTAGTGTCTGTCTGGGCTCAAGTAGGTTGAATCCCAAGAAGAATCAGAGGATAACAAACTTAAAAGACTACAGCCTTTCTTAACTTTCTAAATGGAAAACTGAGAGGCTCTTTCGGCGTCTTTTGAAGGAAAGTCTTCCCAAAGTGGCTAAGGGGTAGGAAAGGCTTTCTGATTGCACATGCGCTGTGGAATCCCAGCTTCCAGGCTTCATGTTTACAGGGCAGCACCTCTCCTCACAGGCTCAAGGAAGATAAGGCCCATGTACTCCACACTCACTGTCTAGGGCTCAGCCCTGAAATTTCAGTGTTTGCATAGCTCTGCTATCACGTTCCTGAAGACATGTAGAAAAAGGGTTACCAGGTTTCTTGCCTTCCTCCCTAAAGAAGGTCATTCTTGAGAACCAGCAGTTAGCATCAGGGTTTTCTGCACAACCTATACAATGAAACCCTAATATGCAAATCGACCAAACGGCAGAATGACTGGTCGCTATGACGCGCACTGACCACCAGGGGGCAGATGCTCAATGCAGGAGCTGCCTCCTGGTGGTCAGTGCGCTCCCACAGGGGGAGCACCACTCAGCCAGAAGCTGGGCCCATGGCTGGCGAGTACAGCGGTGGTGGCGGGAGCCTCTCCCGCCTCCATGGCAGGCAAGCAGTAAGGAGCAAGGGGTCCTGGACTGCGAGAGCTCCAGACTGCAAGAGGGATGTCTTGTCTGACTGCCGGCTTAGGCGGACATGTCCCAAGGGGTCTCAGATTGTGAGAGGGCACAGGTCAGGCTGAGGGATTTCCCCCCTGCCGCCTCCCCTCCCCCCAAGTGCACAAATTTCATGCACCAGGCAGGCCTCTAGTTGTAAATAAAAGGCATGTCTTAGAGTGAACATATAATTTTACATGTCTATGGAATGCCTTTTTTTGGTACCATACATTCTGGTTTTAACAGTAGGCATAGAGATGACATTTGGCTCAATCTAATAATACTCAAGACACTCCCATCAGATTGGAAAGGCTCTTCGACCTCAGCCAACATTTTTCCTTAAAGATTCCTGTGCAATGAACTCCAATGAAAGTCAGTCCTTGGTTGTGGAAACATGGCCGGCAGGGGAGGCAGGAGACCACGCACCCAGAGGAATCAAGCGAGTGTTTGAAGGCAGAATCAGACCATGCACTTCGGCAGAATGGGCAGAGATTAGTGAAACATCACATCAAACCACTCAGATCCCTCTCAAAAAGTCACGGAGGGAGTGAGGGGAGCCCCAGGCCCCATGCAGCCCTGTCAGGATGCCGCTGACCCAGGTCCCCTGGGAAGGCAGCGGGTTTATGAACACCTGAGAGCAGGCGTGTGAGCTGGTGTCTGAGCAGTTCCAACATATCATCAAGGGCTTCAGCCACGTTAATGAGAACCAGAGCTCCAGACCAAAACACTTATTTTGAAAATACCTATTTTTCAAAGATTCTGCATTTTACATTAAACCATATGAGTAATTGTATCCTAGGTTCAGAGCCCATTCTGGAAAAGAAAATTCTTGTCCCCTACCTTGGGTAGCAACTGCATGATTTTGAGAAAGGAAAGCAGCTGATGGAGAGGGAGATAAAAAGGAGAGAGGGGCGTGTGCCCAAGTCCAAGCCTTTAGGCAACCTGACCACCAGGGAGACCAGGCCTCTGGGAAGAGTTTCCAGATCCCTACCTCTCTCTCTCCCCCAAAATGCAAATTCACCTTGCAAGCTTATGGCACCTCCACCTCACTTCTATAGAAGGTGAGAACTGGTCATAAGCCAGTACATTTGAAGTGTTTCTTAAATTCAGGGAGTAAAAAAACCTGTGTAAAATCCAGGCATCCTTTGGTGATCTTTAAATGGAACTATTTGTTTTGTTGGAGGAGAGGGGTATTTTTTTCTTTCTTTTTATTTCTTTCTTTACTCAAAGTTGTTTTGTTTGCTTTGTTTTGTTTGGCTTTGCTCCATTTTGTTCTGATTTGTCCAGGAGTGATCTGACCTTTTGGGGGTTGGGGGATTCCCCCCTTTCCCCAGGAGTTGTGTATTGCTCTAAGCAGCTATTCCCAGAAAAACTGAATAAGGCTAAATTGATGATAGAGCCTGAGACAACAAATTCCCACACACTTAATTCTATTCTTTCTCCCTCTCTGACTTGGCGACATTGTACTCAAAACTATTTAGTGCTAAAATAAATATTTTCTTACCTTTGGAATTGGTTATGGAGGCTTCAATAAAACTTGTTGCTACTTTTGCAAGAGACATTTATTCTGCCCACCCCCACCCCACTAGACTATTACGTAAGTTGGTGATGGGCAGCTGTACAGAGAGCATATGGGGGAACATGAGAAGTAGAGAGGTCTAGTGGAGTCAAGCAGAAAGTTAAGAGTTCAAATCCTCCTCCTGACACTGGATCCTCTGTCATCCTTCTGAATAGAAGTCAATAAGTACAGAGCTTTACTGTGTCGTGGGCACTCTCCTCATGCAAATCTCATTTAATTTTCACACATAAAACTTATTTTCATGATAAGGAAACTGAGACACTAACAGTTTAATTGGACTTGACCAATGTCCCAGAACCAGGACTCAAGCCAAGGTCTGTCAAGCCCCAAAGCCCCTTCTTTTAAGACTCAGATATGTAAAGTAAAAACTATGACACACTAGGCCCCAGAAGCTTACTATTAATTCATTGATTTGTATCCAGCTGTGACATGATAGAAAGAGCAGGGTATCTGCTTCTAAAATCAGACTCTTCCCCTTACTAGTGATATGAACGTGGACTAGCCACTGAACCTGAGTTTTAGTTTCCTCAAACGAAAAATAAAACTAATCATTACCCTTACCTCTTAGTCTTGTTGTCAAGGTTATATGAGAAAACAAATGTGGAAGCATGGATCACACAGAATTTCAGTAGATGTTGATTGGTTAAGTAAGTTACTCAAAGGGAAATAGAGCATAGTGTCTAAAAGTGCTAGGTTTCTGGCTCGTTCTATGAGATTTAAAACCCAGCTCTACGACTTAGTATCACCTTGGGCCAATTACTTTAGTTCTTGGCAAAATGGAGAAAATAATGAGGTTAAATGTGCAAATGTTAGAGTTATATGAATATTAACATAATTATTAATATGAGTGAAAGTCGTCAATTTCTTGAGCATACTAAATAGTTTCACTCTCACATGCTTAAAGGAAGGGGAAGAGCACAGTATTGCTACAGAAAAATAAAAATTTTAATCTAAGGTTTGCACTAAATGGCCCAAGCTAAAAACAACACTTGATAGAGGAGACACAAATATATAATTACTAGAATCCTGGTGCATGAAATTCGTGTACTCAAGGGGATGGGCAGTCCAGGGGCCCTCAGGGGATGTCCGACCACCAGACATCCTTAGCACTGCCACAGCTTCTGGCTGAGCGGCACTTCCCTTGTGGGAGCGCACTGACCACCAGGGGGCAGCTCCTGCGTTGAGCATCTGCTCCCTGGTGGTCAGTGCGCATCATGGCGACCAGCTGTTCTGCCTATCGGTTGATTTGCATATTAGCCTTTTATTATATAGGATGACTCAATGGGTGATATTAATGAGTTATTAATTAAACATATAAAAAAGGTAAATTTGATTTTTCTATACCATTTATTGAACACATATTGTGTTCTAAGCACCATGCTGGAACTGAGAATGCAAAGTTGAATGAGAAAAGAGTCCTGATCTTGAGAAGCTTATTGTCTCTGGCAGAAACAGGCATGAAAACAACTCTAATACAGGTATGAAAAGCTACACAGTGGTAAAGAGTAAATGCTAAAGAAACATGACATCAAACGGTTTTATATTACTTAGTGAGACAATCATGCGTGCAGTTTATCACCTCTCGCTATAAGGCACAAAGCAAGACTATCCAAGATCACTACTGATGAGTGAAATACCAATTTCTATGTAACTTGTTTCCCCAATACCAAATGTCCAAACAAATGATATGCCAACTTGGGGGAAGTTCCTAGCTAAGTTTAAAGCACTCACTGAATAAATGAATGTTCCCAAAAGACCTATATAAGGCATTGATTAGCCAGGAGTTCAAGAGTTTCAATCTGTGATTATAAAGACATAGACTTGAGGTGGGCAAGAAAAGAGAGAGGACAAAGACCCAATGCAGGAAAT